CCCCAAAACCCCAAAACCCCAAAACCCCTTTGAAACTCTCACACTCCTCAACACTGCGAATAAATCTTCAGATACGAAACTTAATTTCCCAGGATTTCAAAATTTAAAAAAAATTTACAAGTTTCAAACAACTTTCTAACGTTTTGAGAGTAAAGGACTATGCATCGGCATATTCGAAGTCTTCAGATTCAGGAACGTTTTCGTTTTAGATATTTTCATACCCTTATAGCTCTTCTTTGGGTCTAAAATAGTCCAAAATGACTTACTTGGTTTGTAAAAGTTATCACTTTGCCAAATTTTGGTCCTTTTCCTGCTGAATTTCTGGTCTGGGCGATCTGAACGTTTGGGGAGTTTCTTCTCAACTATGGAATCGTCCTGTTCTAAGAATTGTGAATTTGTAAGAAGTACCTTCTAGACCGTGCTTTTGGTTAAATTTCTTCCATTTCTCTTTACTACTTGCCTACAATAATCCTCTATCTTACTCTTGATCTTCTTAATCTCAGTCAAATCCGCCTTCAATCTCTTCTTCATAGCCTCTCTTTTCTTACTAAATATTTTGGTTTTGATCTTTTGGAAATTGGTGTTGATAAATTGGGTGTCATTGAAGGGGAGTAGTAGAGGGGATGTCTTTTTAGGTAAGGATTTTGGTCAGCCTATGGGGTTAGAGGGACAGTACCTCCGGAGAACGAGGTGGGACAGGTCTCGTTTAGGCCGATGAGCTAGGGGTAAGGGTAGTGGCTTACTTGGATTGGAGGGTTTGGGAGGGTGCTGAGGGGATTTTTCGAGAGGAGAGTTCATTAAACGGATGCTTGTTGCTCTTTGGCTGGCTTTGGAGACAGTGGTTCCTCGGCTATGAGTTAGCCTTGTAGTGGATAAGCCTAAAGAGTTGTTTTAATGAAAAAATTGGGTATTAAGCAGTTTTACCTTCATTCTCAGAGGCTTGAAGAACAGTTGGAGGCTTATAAATTTTAGGCTTTTTCTTTCGTTCCATAAAGCGTCTCAAATTTTTATAGCTCTGCTTCTTCCTTGCGGACATTGTAGCATTCGAGTCTTCCCTAGCTTGACTTGTATATGTTCTATTAGTTTGAGTAACAGACATTATGTCCTATAGCATAAAGCTTGGATGTACTCCAAAGTTTGGATCAAAAAGGATTTTATCAAGCCTATATTTATCCATTGATGTTACTTGAATGATTTCTCAGCAAAAGCCTTATCAAATGTTACTGAAAAATTCTCTCCTTTGCTATCTTTTCTGAACAAATTATTTCTGGCTTTTTAAAACTGGGTTATGAAAGATTATATTCGGTGATCTTTCTTCTTTGAAATATCTAATATATAAGCAGTTTTAAACACCTGTGGACTTTACGGAATAGCAATCCTTCTGTATTGTTCGGGCTCTCTTGAGATGTTTTCACTATATCAAATCTTTAAAATACATTCTCGGGATTTAGATTCCTTAATTAAAAAATTATGAAAACAGAGTATTGCTCTCTACAATCTCATGTTTAAATAAAAATGAAACTTTAGGAATGTAAGCTGGACTTCAGGCTTAAAATGGAACCTCCTGTTTTTGAATATGAATGAAAAGCCATAGACAAATTTAAGAGTTATAATTGAGAGTATGAGCGGTCACTCCAGGTAATATATTAAGCGAGGCCTAAATTAGCTCTCTGAGGTGGCATTAAGCATCTAATTCCTACGGATGTACCTCTTTGACTTAGGTTATTCATAAAATACCCTTCCATTTGTAATTATATAATTGCCAATTTTAAATATATATTGGGGTTTTGGGGTTTTGGGGTTTTGGGGTTTTGGGG